AATGCACGTCGCACTCAATTCGCCGCCTTACATTTGTGCCCCCAACAACAACAACAACAACAACTAAAGTGGCGAATGCATACGCGGCTTGCAATTGCAATTGACATTTGCCAATCAGCAGGCGATTCATCGATTGCGCTGCCGACACTAACAGCGCGCAGTTGCCACCTGTCGACTGGAATGGTATACACATATATAAATGTTTATACCCTGTTCATAGTATATTAAGTTTGCCAAGAAGTTTGTAACATCTCAACGAAAACGTCGGTGAGCTTATAAAACGCATGACTGTTGTCTATATATATATAGGTGAACTAGTCTCTCAATTTTCGAGATATTGATCCGAAATTTTGTACATGTACTTTTCTTTTTACAGAGTTGCTCATTTGTTGGAATTAGCGATATTGGATTACTATAGCATATAGCTGCCATACAAACTGACCTGTCAAAATCCAGTGTTTATATGGAAAACTTTTTCATTTGACAAGATATTTTCATGAAATTTGGCACAGATTTTTTACCAAAACATCGCTATAATTTGCCAAAAAATTGTTCAGATCGGACAACTATAGCCCGTAGCTGCCATACAAACTGCTTGGTCAAAATCAAATTTTTGTTTGGAAAGCTTTTTTATTTGACAAGATATCTTCACTAAATTTGGCACATATTATTGTTCAAAGCATCGCTACAATTTCCGAAAAATTGTCGAGGTCGGAGAACTATAGCCTATAGCTGCCATACAAAACCCAACTCAACGATTAAAATCAAGTTCTTGTATGTAAAAATTTTTATTTGTGAATGCCATTATACTTGTAGCTTCGGTGCAATCGCAGTTAACGGGTTTTCTTGTTTCATCTATGTATGCGTGTGTGTCACACTATAGGCAGAAAGGGTGGCAGCGACTTTATTAGGCATCAACAGTTGCCGCATATCGATTTCAATTACCGCTGCTGCCACTATTACCACTCACAATCGCTGAGTGCCGTTGTATGTGCGCCGCCACAATTTCTCATTTGACAAGCGCAAAATGTTAATTTTCATTTCTAAAACCACTAAAGCTTTTCAATGGATTAAGCAGCGTGGGTGGGTGATTGTGTGAATATAAAGTTGACTATTGATTTCTGCCACTTGCAATGCGACGGCTATGAAAATTCCCAACTTCTGCGCGTATTCACCGGTATTCTACATTTCAATTTCACTCACGTGAGCCACCTCCGCGCTGGCAGCTGTCCACTTTCACACAAGTGTCACTAGCACTGCCGCACGTCATGCTCACCTAATTCACCGTTGCATGCATACACATACATATGTATACACGCACGCATTTGTAATGCATTTACACTGCGCACTAAGCCATATGCTAAATCGCCATATTAGTTGGCAATCAAGCTGCCACAATGACCATTAGACACGGAAATGTCCACCATTGCTGGTCATTTTCATGTTTCGTTACGCTGACCCGGGCTCGTACTTAATTCGGCTCAAATTGTGAGTGCATGCAAAATTTGTCGCCATTAAGTGTTTTGTGGGGGAAAACGACAATGAGTTGCCATTAATTCCTTGTTTGTGGTTTTCTTGCTTCTTGTTTGCATTTGACCCATATAAGTAAGTGACCGGAAGATATTTTTTTTTCTTGTCTAAGGAAAGGTTTCGAGTTTTACAAAAGCCGAAAATAATATACACTGTGCAAGGTATAAAAAAAGGTGCGAAAAATAGAAATGGAACTCACAAGAGCGTGTAGAAATGGCTGCAAGGAATAAAAGAGGTCTACAATGAATGAAGAAGGGACAATAGTACTGAGTTTCTAATATAGATACAACAGCCATGTGTGATGATGTGAGAAACGATTGTCTAACAGATATCTTACGGTCTGATCGTAATATATAATATTATATATGGCATAAAGTCAACGGAAGGTTTGAAAACCTGTACATTAGGTTTGTGGGGGCTAGAGAAAATATTCACCCAATTACCTCTACCTGTTATGGGCAGAAGGGTACACTGTTATTAGAAAGAACTCAATTGCAGTCCACCGGAAGTTTAAAAATCCTTGTTATAGGTATATGGCGGCGATTTATATCTATTTTTGACACAAGGGAAAATTTTTGGAAGCAAAAGGTGCTCTCTGAATTTCAGTAAGGCATCCTACAAAGTGAACAATATTTTCGAAAAAAAGTCAGTCATAGGCACTGTAGTCCATATATTAGCAACTGGAGGCTTTTGAAGTTTTGGTCCGCGTATACCGATTATCGAAAACTCGGGCACATTAGTAATAGGATAAAACGTTATCTTAAACATTTTTTGGTAAAAAATCGGCCGAAGGCACTAAGCTCCCCGATATACGTTCTCTGGGGTATTAAAAAGTTGCGATCTGATATCGACTATTTTAAAATGCCTGGCAATACTTGTGCGATGTTATATTCCGTTATCTTCATTGTTACGTAATTTAATCTAAACTAAAGTCAAAGAATCCGTTGAAGTTAAAAATTGTTTTGTGGAAAGTGGGCGTAGTAGTAGTTTGACGAAAAGTTCAGAAGGTTTATTTTATGACATTTCATTTTACCCTAAACAGTGTACGAGTATATTAAGTTTGCCACGAAACTTGTAACAGCTAGAAGGAAACGTCGGAGATCCTGTAAAAATATATATATGTAAATATATATCAGCTGAGTCAATTAACCATGTCCGTCTGTCTGTCCGTCTTTCCGCCTGTATATAGGCAAATTGCTTCCTAAGTTTTTGATACATCGATATGAAGCTTTGCACACATCTTTTTCTCCTTAAAGAGTTGCTCATTTGACGGAACCGCCGTTATTGGGCCATTATAAGCTGTCATACAAGCTGACGAACGGAATCAAGCGCTTGTATGGAAAACTTTCATTCGCAACTGTCATTTCTTATATGAGTGTCCTTTCATGCTTTCTACCTCTTTGGTAAGATACTAATACATGATCTCTTCTTGCTGTTGTTATAGAAATAAAGATATCGAAAACACTTAAAAACAATTTCTAGAATAAAATTGATGATGATACGCAGGCTCATATTTCTTTTCGTGAGATTTCCAAGAATACTATTTGCTCAAGACTTTCAGATGCCCTAGATACAGCATTTTCATTTGAACACCATACTAGTATTATCTATGGCGCATATACATGACAATTACTATTTTAGTGTAACTGTAATACAATCTGTTAAATTCTCTTACGTCCATATCCATAAAATATGTATACAATTTCGTGCATGCTAATAATCACACTAGACACACGTGCTAATTGCCATAAGGTCATTAGCAAGTTTGGCAAATATATATATATATGTATATCAAGTAATAAATTTAAAGAGCAATGCAATTAATCACGTCCAAGCAGAATGTGAAACCAAAGCATTTGACTCGAAGCACTAAAATATTAAGCGGAGCAGAGTCATAAAGTAGAAAGGCCAAAGAGCAAAAGTGCAATAGAGTTTCGGACTAAGCTAATAGACATTAGATAAATACAAATAAATGTGGGTGTAATGCAAGTACGAGCGGAAATGGTAGCTAATTTATTTGCACAAATATATATTTGTGTATATTTGTGCGCTAACACGGAGTGAAATGTCAATGCAAAGAGACAAACGGGCAGACCGATAGGGAGACAGACGTATAACCGCTGATATTTGCCACAAAATGGCGTAAACACAATTACAGCCAAACCTATATATACATAATATATATATACATATACAAGCAATTCGCATTAAACGCGCGCATAAATAGCGTTGTCATAGCGCCACTTTGGGATTTGCATACATTTAGGCGTACAGCGTGCTGTATGTGCGCATTTGTGGTTTTATAGCTATCCTTCGGTGCTGGTATTTTGAGCAAACGTACAAATGTTGTATAAGGCTTGTATGTGCTAGCGTTTGCCTGTTTTATCGTCGTCATGTCACTACAGCTTTGGTAACGGATTAATTATTTGCTTTGGAATGTGTTAAAATCAAATTAATGGCTCACATTCGAGCTGATAAATTAATAAATATAAAATGAGCGTACCTTTGGGGAAATGTCCATATATGCGTTTCTATAACGGATATATATTTAAAAATATATCAATAATTGCCATTATATTATTGTATTTCAAAAACAATATGCCGCAGCGCCCAAGTGTATGCTACACAATATAATTAATTCCAGTCAACGCATGTTGTTTGTTATTTTCACACAAACATATACACATACATAACCATACACCTATCTATATAGAATATACATATATATTAGGGCGAAACATTTTTTGTTTTGCTTTTTGCGTAGCCTGAGCGTCAAATTTGTATAATATAAAAAAAAAAAAAAATTTACATCTAGAGGCTCACTCACTTTTAAAGTCAAGTTTCGAGCTAAAATTTTTATTTCGTTAAAAATTTTTGAGAAGTGTTCTAGAAGCTGTGGAGAGTCCTTTTTCTGGCCAATTAAAAGTTATGAAGTTGAAAAAATTTATTGTGGTCAGTATTGGAGTTTTAACAAAAAGTCTTAAGCAACAACATGCTTTTCTTAACTGTTAAAATAAATTTTGAGTCAAAACCCGTCAAAGTCGGTAATTTTCATTTTCATTTCAGAGTTTAAACCAAAAAAATTTTTTTTGTCCAAAAAAAATTTTAACTCGAAATTTATTTTAAAAGTGAGATGTTAAAAAAAGACTTTTTGTTTTCAGAAATTTTCTGTTTTTATAATCTACAAATTTTACCTTCAGGCTAAGCAAAATAAATTTTTTTTTTTTCGTTCCACCCTAAAATATATATATATAATATTGCTGTGTAAGCCTGCCACATTCCAGCGGTTTATATTTAATTTATATTTCCTGCTTCTACAAATTCATCGATTTATCGATTAAACCACGCTGATATGCCTGTTTTATTTTTAATTAGTGACAAGCAGATTGCGTGCAGCTCGTTTATATTAGTTCAAATATAGTACACTATTTAACTATGTATGTGTGTGTTTGCTGTTAGATTCTACTCACCGAAGTGGCCGCACAGCCCGGTAAGGTCACGCAATTTAAATTGGTTTTAAGGATACGCTGCAGCAGACATGTGTATTATGTTTTTTTTTGCACCGTTTAAGTATAGTTTAACTGTAAAATACATAAAATAAATATTTAATAAAAATTAAATTTTGGCTTGATTGCTAATAATTTATGTTTTTCAAATATTTTTGACTCAGTTTCTTCACTTTTAACTAATATCTATAATACATTAAATAATAATTTAATAAAAACAGTGAAAATCGCACTGCAAATGTTCGAGCCTTTAGATATAGGGACCTCAGTTCATAATGCGAACTTTTTACTAAAAAAAAACGGTAATTTTATTAAAATTAGGAGAGTATAATATGTCTGCATTTCAAAAATGGTTTAAATCGAGTCACTATTTCCCTTAGCCCCCCTAAGTCCAATAGAAAGATTTTCGAACTTCCGGCTGACGGCCGATATATGAGTTATCTTAATAAAACTGAGAGTGCATGTTTTTCTAATAACGGTGTATCTTTGTGCATAAAGAGGATACAATTATATGAAAGCTTGCCCGAGCCTTCATTCACCGAGAAGATTTAAAAATATTTCCTTATTTTCTTCTAATTTGCAGCTGTGATAAATATTGTTATGGTGCAGAATCATTTTTAGCGCACTCGTCTTGAGACGTCGCTGCTGACTTGTTTAACACGTCTGCTGTTTCGTTGCCGAAAATATTCTTGTGAGCAGCAACCCAGATTATGAGCAAGTGCAGTTGACCTGCTGAAAGCCTTCCTACAATGATTGACTACGCTGAAATTATTCTTTGGCGACGACAAGGCCAGCAATCTTTGAAAGCAACTGAATACAGAATATAAACGACTTGTGGTGCCTGGTTGGAATTCAAAAATGTATGAGCCTATACCACTATGCATATTGCAACGTTACTGGTATTCGAGTATTCCCTATGCTGTCTATGTATATGCTTTTGCTTTCATTGACTAGTCATGTTGCTTCTTACTACTATTCCTTGCACATTTTGTTGCCAAAATTTTGTTTACTCCTTACGAATGCTCCGACTGATGTGCTTCATCGCTATATTTGTATGCGTGAGCTAGATGCTTTGAGGTATGCACAAGTCTATGATCTTGGTTTGTCATGCTCGACTGTTTGTCGGTTTGTCAGTTGTGCACAATCGCTTACCGTGTCGCATGTGCTTCAGCGCTAGCTCACTTGCATTGAGTTGACAGCTGATAGCTGAAGGCACTAGCAAACAGTTGACTCTCCCAAATGATTTCTTTGTGCATAAATCACGAAATTGCATCTTAGTGCGCTTGAGATGACAAGGCGCATTGCTGCGCATAGTACATGCATATACATACATATATATGTGTGAGTCTGTGTTTATGTGTGCATTGCTGCTTATTTGTATTTGTTATTGTTTACTGGTTCGTCGCAATGAGAATTCATACGAATTTGAGTTGCAGTAAAACAGAAATTTTCAAGAATTCGAATTTCGCATAGAAAATATTTTGGATTTCTATTAAAGCCTTAGTGTTGTAGCAAATTAATTGATTTGTGCATGGTAATTTGCCCGTTGGCATTTCATGAATTTAATTGTTTTTAATGCATTTGAGGGATATATTTTGTAAAATAATGTTTACGCATCAACAGCTTCCGCAAGAAATATGCCCAGATTAATTAATTATTATAAATTTATAACTGAGTTAACTGAAATATGTTTATATTCGCTTCAGCAAGCAATAATTTGCGAAGAATGCGAGAAAAACAAAAATTAGTTACTTAGTATTTAAGTATAAATATTTAATATATGTACTCGTACATACATATACTATACATAAAAAGTCACTCATACGCCACCATACACCCGTCAGCCCGCCTTTATTAGATCGTTTCTCATAAATCGTTGACGTGAAAGAAAACGGCAAACAAAAAACAAAAAAAGAAATCTAATTAATGTGTAAACTGGACAATAGTAGCAATAATGGGTTATCTTGCGGCTGATTTATTGAAGTGGAGGCGATCTATAAAATATTTCTATACAATATTAGTCGTTTACAGAAACTATATACAGATATATCCGATTACCTGAGCTCAATTCTGGATATTAATAACTGGTACAGGGGTAGAGCTAGAATGAAAAAAGGACAGACTATTTAGGTGCAGATAGACTTCATTAGGAATAAAGAAATATTTTTAGCATAGAATTCGCAGTTGCCACTCTTCATACCAGCTGTAGGCTCTAAAAAGCGAAAATCCTAGCCAGATTCTAGTAATGAAATAATTTTTATCGCAATAGTACAAGCAGTTAATATAAATATAAGCATCTAGGATAACCAGTTATATTACAAGAGTAGGTGCATACGAGTATATGTATACACATACCAATAGCACACTAACATATAGCTCACCTATTTGAAAACTACTCTCGACCATTTTAATTAAACATGCTGCTTGTAATCATACAAATATTTGAGAAATTCAACAAACAATAGAAATAGATTAAAAACATTTGAAATCAAACAGTAGAATAGCGAATATAGACAAAAGCAAAATGGGAGAGTAAAAATGCTTTAATTTTAGCAAGTGAAAGGAATGCAGAAAATTTATAGGAGCGAATAAAATGCAGAGGCGTTGAAGCACAAGTAACTTTTATGTTATATATATGTATAAAAAAATTAAAAAAGTAAATATCCAAAAAAAAAAATTCATATCTTCGCAAATAGTTATGTTGCCATCACCAAAAAAAAACAAAAAAAAACAATATTTAAAAATATTAAAAATTATGTAAAAATAAATATAATAAAAATTATTGTATATTAATATTTTTGAAGATAATTGTGGCTAATAGAAAGTTAGGAACATACCACTAATGTTGACATATTGTAAACCATAAAACAGAAAAATATAAAAATATAGAAATTATAATCATATTTTAAAAGTTAACAACATATAACCTTACGGCCAAGAATATACAACTAATGTTATAATACCTTATTGTTACAAAAAAAAAAAATAAAAAAATAAATAAATTTAAAAAAAAATGATTAAATACCTAAAAAAAAATTAAAAATTTAAATAAAACATAAAAAATAAATAATAAGCAAAAAAAAATAATAATAATATAATGATGCTAATTATGACCTTACAGCCAAGAACTAGCCACTAATGTTGAGTTGAAATATTGTAAACAAAAAAAGCAAAAAATAAATAAATAATAAAAAGATGTATGTATATAACTAAAAAATAAAAAAATTAATTAAAACTAAAAAATAAAACAAAGAAAGAAACATTAAAAATAAAGTTAAAAAAAAGATATTAAATTATAATATTATTATTTTTGGTAACTATGACCTTTTAGCCAAGCAATTACTTCTTATGTTGTCATACTACAAATAAACAAAAAATTAAATTGAAAAGAAATAATATATAGAAAGTAAAAAAACTAATTAATAATTAAAAAATTAAAATTATTGTAAAATTATTATTTGAAATATAATTGTAGCCTTAAAGCCAAGAAAATACCAATAATGCTGCCATATTGTAAAGAAAAAAAAAAATTATTATAAAATTTTTTTTAGAGGTAACTATAACTTTATAGCCAAGAACATATCATAGTTTGTGTGTGTGTATATGTTATGTTGCCATATTGAATTTTTATTATGCATTAAAATATGTTTACACTCTATATCAAATTATATAACTATTATATTACTTTTTTGTAAAAAGCTTATTTGCCCAGTTTTTCAATTTAAGAGCTTACTAGAGTTATAAAGAAAATGACAATAAAACCTTACATAAATATTTAACCACTGATCAACCTACACCGCCCAAACTTATTTTCATACGAAATACTTGTATAATGATTATTTGTTGTTCTAAGAATATATTTTTTTTTGTGTGCCGTCAAGACACTCACTCCTTTCGTACTAACTAATCTACAACATATTGCTATTAATATGGTAAACTTTGTTTCTGAAAATATATATTTATGCAACTAAATACACACACCTGCATATTGTTCCGCATTACTTCGGTGAAACCCTAACATTTCTATAAATACTAATTTCCGGCCGCAAAATGCTATCATGAATAATACATACTAATTGCGACTGATTGACGTTGTTTCTAGGTACGCTTGCTCTTACTCAAACCTCTCCACCACAAACCTCAACTCACATATAACACAATGTTGCAATATGTAGTTGAGATAAATGCTTAAGTAATTGCTTTGTATGCATAAACGCACACTCAAACGCATGTACTAAAATATATTTATTAAATATGTAGAAATATGCCTGTGCATAAATATAATTTTATATTTTTCTTAACCTTTTATGCTTATACCAATCGTTCTGCTGTGCTGCCAGGTACAACAGTGCGTATACGTGACCGGTATGGAAATGGCTGTGCTTCGGTTCAACCAGCAATAATCGACCAGACATGTGTATTTATTACGTATGTAAGTATTTTTGTGAATATTTATTTATATAAGTTTCTCTTTGAATTTTTATATTGTATTTTCGTACTTGCTGGTATGTAGATTAGTATTCAGAGCACCGTAATTTTATTTAACAGAATATCGGTATATGACTTAGCTATTATTTATATGACAATTTTCTTGAAAGGCAGCACAATTTATGTAAGTTTTGCGGAAATATTTATCATAAAATTTCTTTTATCTTATTTTAAGCAAAGAATGCATGAACTTTGTACTATCTGATATAGAAGATTTAGCTACATAGAAGGCTATGCATAAAATGTGCTTTAAAAATACAGCTGGTTGATGAATGGTTCCAAAAAGTTTAACTAAAGAAAATCTCAAAAATACTTTTCGAAAGAAAAAAAAAATTTGTCTTAAAATAGTCAAATTTCAACCGTTAATATATTTTTAAATGAAAGAATCTCCTTCAATTCCTTACCAAAATCACAAAACGAAATATTTCTTCTAGTTGAAAGAGAGATATAAATTTTTCTATCAGATAAAAAGAAAAATAGTGAAAACTGTAAAGCGGAGGATCTTCCAGTTACAGTTAAGGGCTCATACTTGTAGAGGTGTCTATCAACCTAGTGCCAAGCGAAAAAACAACATTCGTTTATTTTTG